TATCAGCTTTTCAGAATTATATATTCAAGAGTTTATATTTAAATATTATATTAAATTTTATATTAAATGTTATAAATTTAAGCCCTTTCTCCATATCCTTGCCAGCATTTGTTATTTTCTATCTTTTTGGTAATAGCCATTCTAACAGGTGAGATATCTCATTGTGGTTTTGGCTTGCATTTCTCTGATGATTAGTGATTTTTAACATTTTTTCATATACCTGTTGTCCATTTGTATGTCTTCCTTTGAGAAATGTCTAATCAGCTCATTTGCCCATTTTTTAATCAGTTTTCTTTATTGAATTGTTGGTGTTCCTTGTATATTCTGGATATTAATCCCTTGTCAGATGCATAAAATTATATTAAGTGAAATAATCCAGGCACAAAAAGAGAAAAACCTTATGTTCTCACTCAAATGTGGAAGCTAAAGTTGATCTCGTGGAAGTAAAGAGTGAAATATTGATTACTAGAGACTAGTAAGGGTAGGGTAAATAGGGAGAGGGTGGTCAATGGATACAAAATTGTAGAGAAAGAGGAAGAATAACATCCAGTCTTCTGTAACAATATAGGGGGACTACAGTCAACAGCAAATTACTGCATAACTTCAAAGAGCTGTTGAGAGGATGTTGAATCTTCCCAACGCAAAGAGGTAGCAAGTGTCTGAAATGAAAGATATGCTAAATACTCTGATATGATCATTGCACAATGTATAAATGTACCCAAATATCACATTGTACTCCATAAATATATGCAAGTAACATGAGTCAATTAAGAAAAAATAAATTATGAAGAAAAAATAATTATATATTTAAATGCTTATGGAGGAATATGTAAAGATAGAATAAAAGCAGGTGTTAGACTTCAATTCCTTTGGTTTTCTAGACTAAAGTGTTACTTATATAACTTTTGAGTCTCTTAATACAAAATTTGTTTTAAATCACAGTGAAATTTTAATGCAAATTAAAGTGAAAACATATTTATAACTAATTTTTTGTCTGTAAAAATTACTATAAAAGTTAAAGCAATAATTAACAAGAACTAAAGTAGTCAATATATTTTGAGTCAAGTATCTTCATACACTGCATGATATTTATTATTTAGGATTTGTCAGAAGCCAATTTGTACACTGTTAAATAAAATATTAAAGCCCAAAGAGGTACTATATGCAAATTATTTGAGCATTCAAATCTAAAAGCAAAATTAGCAGCATTAGTTTCTTGTCATAGGAAAGAATATTCTTGGCATTGGCTTGACTATTTTTTTATTTTTAATTTTTTAGATCTATGGCTGAAATACAGAAGTACTTTTATGAAAATAAGGAAGTCACTATTAAAATGAAATGATCGCAANATATTTATAACTAATTTTTTGTCTGTAAAAATTACTATAAAAGTTAAAGCAATAATTAACAAGAACTAAAGTAGTCAATATATTTTGAGTCAAGTATCTTCATACACTGCATGATATTTATTATTTAGGATTTGTCAGAAGCCAATTTGTACACTGTTAAATAAAATATTAAAGCCCAAAGAGGTACTATATGCAAATTATTTGAGCATTCAAATCTAAAAGCAAAATTAGCAGCATTAGTTTCTTGTCATAGGAAAGAATATTCTTGGCATTGGCTTGACTATTTTTTTATTTTTAATTTTTTAGATCTATGGCTGAAATACAGAAGTACTTTTATGAAAATAAGGAAGTCACTATTAAAATGAAATGATCGCAAACAGACAAGTTAGAACACCTTGCTATTTTTAACATTCACAGTAATATTTTAAATGTTGTTTACCATGATTAATAATTCAATATTTTTCCTAAATATTAGTTTAAATTCCTTTTAATGATTTATCATTTAAAGAATGTCTAGCTTGTTCTCTTTTAAATGCCCTGGAGCCTAAAGTTAAATAAGCTTCGTTGTGGTTAGGGTGATTTACCTCCTTGAAACACATCACTATTTGGCTAAGTCCTCCTGTTTCAGCACCTAACTGCTCTATTCTCAGATTCATGTTAGACATGTCAGTTATGTGGCAATTCCATCAGTGAAAAAATTTCCCTAATCAGCTAAAAATATAACTGAACATTCAAAACTAAATTGGGGAAATTGTCAATAGTTAATTCAAGTAATATATAAAAACACTCTATTAAGAGATGGTTACATTATTCCTGTGCTTTTGTTTATTTCTTGTTTTCAGCATCATGAGCTCAATGAGCAATCTTTGAAGAACAAAACAATCTTAAATTAATTATTTGAAGTATGTTAAAAGTGCTTAAGATAAACATTATAAAATGAAAAAAATTCAATCTAATATAAACATACTTCATTTTTAGCTTTGTTTTAAATAAAAAGGTTAATATTGATTATAAGGAAAAGCATTACAGTGAAATGCTTCGGCAAATGATACTTGTCCTAAGGAAAGCAATATTTGATTCAACAAATTACAGTGTAATAAATTATTTTAGAATTATTTTTTAAATTATCTGCCTATGACTACCAAACTTGTATTTAGAGTTCAACACACAATTTGATTTATTCATTGATTATGGGACAACGTGCTTTTTTTCCTATAGCATGTAGAGTTTTAATTTCAGAATATGTTATGAGGTTAAAAGAGTTTTCGGTAGTTATTTTAATATCTCAGCCTTCGATATGTATTTTATCTAAAACGCTACAAATAATTTATCTTTTAACAACCCTGTGCACCCAGTTTCATTTTCTAACACTCTTGATGACAGCTGAATAGTAAAATAAAACCTCTCAAACTTTATATTATTTTCTTCGTGCGGAAAGTAACTCAGCATATAATTTTATAGATACAAGGAAAAGCATACATTTTTTTGTTTGTTTCTGTGCAGTTCATGTACATATTTCACCAAAGAATTTACATGGCTAG